AGTCTCAACTACATAGTGAGACCCTGTCTCAAAAAACAAAAAATAAAACAAAACAAAAACCATAAAATACCTGAGTATAGTGGCACACACCTCTAATCCCAGCACTTGGGAGGCTGAGGCAGGAAGTTGCTATGAATTCCATGCCAGCCTGGACTATATGGTAAGTTCAAGGCCAGTCTGAACTACAGAGAAAAATCCTGCACCCCCAAAAATCCATAAAATAGAAAATAGTTCTAACAGGTTTATAACCAAACACATATACCTATCTACTTTGCCTGGAATTAACAAATTCTGTTCCCAGAAGCAACTACTTTGCATTGCTTTACACACACACACACACACACACACACCCTACAATAAAATGCATATATTTTTATCAATTCACAAAAGGATACAGGAGGGTTTTGAAACCCATGATACTGTCCCCTTTGCCTTCCTCCACCTCTCCAAAGTTGCTATGGGTTAAAGTTTTGATTAAATCCATATTAATGTTTCATAGGGCCAGGGATTTAGCTCAGTGAGTCCACAGCCTGCCTCACAAGCACAAGGACCTGAGTTTATCTCTGATACGAAAACTAACAAACAAACAAACAACCACAAACATTTTTTAATGTTTCCATTTTAGTAAAAGACTGTATAGGTATAGTACTTTTCATTTCATGTATTGATTACATTTCTTTGTATTTACGAGTAAATCTTCCGTAATTCCGTGGTTGGTTATATAAGAATGGGATTATGGAGTCTTTAATTTTCTGCTTTGTATGTTCTGTACAGTTTAATGCTTCGTAAGAACACCCACAGTTACCCTTTTTAATTACTAAAAGCAATAAAATATTTCCACTTTGAAACTGCAAAAATTACTTGCATTTCACCTACATGGTCCTCAAATGTATGCATCAGAATCATGTGCAGAATTAAAAGTGCCCATTTCTGGATCTGGCCTCCCTGAGCTTCAGGGTCGAGAAACCGATGTGTTCAATGCCTCAAATGAAGCTAACGGAGTTGATCACACTCAAATCACTGTATCTAACAAAAAAAGATCACTGAGGTACAGTATTTTAGAGCAGAAAAATCTCTTAGCTCTCCTAGTACACAGGAAGAAAGATACAGATTCATACTCCCAGACACAGAATCCAGGAACACATGGGGAAACCCTGAGTCAGTTGTAGTTCGACAGCAAGATGACGTCTCCCTCCAGTGGCATAGGCTTGCTGGCTATGACCTTTGCATCACTGTAGTGGTCGGGGGTAGGCCAGGTGTAGCGAAGGGACAGGCAAAGCAAGGTGGTGATTAGATGTGTTTGTCTACAACCCTGCAAATCTGGGACAAAAGGGGCAAATCTAAAAACCTTCCTAGGATTGAAGGTTGCCAGGTGTAGAGGGCAGTGGTGACCTAGAAAAATCAATCCCACCAGCACTGCTACTACCAACCATGAGAAGAGATAAGACCAAGGAAGGGAAGTTTGCACCTTCAGTTCTATGAATCATTCCAGCCGACTCAGCTCCTGAATGAAGTGAGCCTGTCAGGTTGGAGTGGGAGGTGCAGGGTGCACTTTAAGAAAATATTACAAATATTTTAAACAGAAGTTAATTCTGAATTAAGGCAAACTCCCCACTTGAAAAATGCCAGCTGGAGTGTATATGCACGCATGCTTGCTGGTAAGTCTGCACACAGACATTTCACTGCTCTGTCCCTTCTACCTTCTCCCCGTGTCTCCTGGGGTTTTCCTACCAGCTCATCTCATGGGGAGTTTTCCTACAGGTACTCTGCGAGGCATTCAGAAGGGACACACTGCTTTTCGGAGAGCACCACATGCATCTTGTGGGATCCCGAGGCCGGTGGTCCAGCCCCACTCTTAAAAACCAGCAGGGAGGTGTCGCGGTGTCTCAGGATCTCACTCTCCTCCCGTCGGGCTCTGTACTGAGGAGCAGCAGTCGTGTCCTCTGACACGGTAACTCTGCCACGCCCCCCACCGAGGGCGCCAGGCACAAGACCCTTTCTTGAGCTCTCGAGTCATCTGCACCACCTTGGTTGCACCATGAGCAGTGTGTACGGGCAGCTGGAAGTGAAGACATTCTCCCTCCTACTTAGCTGTTTCTCTTCTACCCCCAGTCTGTCAATGTTCTTAATGAAATGTCCCTTCAGCGTGCTAGCTCAAGGGATCTCCCAGGACTCACCTCTTTCATGTCATCATTTTTCAAAAGCAAATAAATGTATTTTTGGAGATTTGTAGCCATACGCTGAATGATTTTGTTCACAATTCTTGTTTCTAGTCACAGAAACACATATACCACAATTTAGTCTGAAAAGCACTTGAATTATTTCCTGTCCATTTGTGACACAGATCACAAAAGAGGATGTGGAAAGCAAATCAGCTTGAGAGAAGGTACCCAGCTAAACCTATAACATGGTGCCACCTCACACTGGTAGACTGGCCACAAGGAAAAAGACAGACTGTGTCAAGTGCCAGTGAGGATGTGGAGCAACTGGAAATCTCATCCCCTCACAGGAGTGGAGGCAGTACAACTGCTCTGAAAGCAAACTGGCAATCCCTACTGAAGCTGACCCTATGGCCCAGCTACTTCCTTCTTAGGTCTCTACCCAACCGGACACATCCCTAAGCTCGTCGGAAGGCAGCAGGATCCTTCAGCAGCAGCATTCATCACCACTTCAAACTGGAAAAATGATTTAATCAACCATGAAGACGGAAACACCACAGAACTTTCATGCCCAAAATTAGCTTATAGGCTACTTACACAAAATTTTGAAATAGGCCCGATATTCAGTGTTAGGGGTTAGGATAGTGGTTAGCACTGGTGGGTAGTAAAGGGGAAGGAAAGGACAAGAAGGTGCTCCTAGGGACCCAGATGATGCCCCGTTTGGTCTGGTTGGTACTTACAGGGGTAGCAAATTGATGAACATGAAACAGTACTCTTAAGATTTTCGCACTATTTACATTTAGCCCATCTGTGCATGTGTATTATATGTCAGTTCAAGGTTACAAAAGTTAAAACAGCGCAGTATCACAGCTTGTTAGTTGTGGTTCTTTCCTCTCTTTTGTTTTGCTTCTGATAGTTTTACTGAGTTTGGGCGTACATGTCTTTCAGCTGCTTGGCGGGGATGGAAAGGAGTAATGATAAGCTTTATCCTCTCCCTAGCGCCTACCAAATGAGCCCTGCCAGTGTCAACAAGCTGGATAATCAGAGTCAGATGGCTAGACGTGGTAATGATCGCAGAAATTAATCCACAAGCTTCGCGAGAACAAACCGAGATCCACAGGGGTAAATCTAAGCACGTGGCTGTTTGAACAACCTCGAGTCTCGCGATTCCAGTTTCTAATCAGCCTTGGATACAGGAAGATCTGCTTCTCGATTACTTTCACACCTGTGGCGTGTGGAAATTTCTATCCTACCTCATTTTCTATGTTAGGGGATAGTTTGATCCCTGTTGAAATGTAAAGGAGAAGTAACCTGCCCTTTCCTTGTGAGACAACTGATCATGTTTCCCATCACCCTGGGGTTTGACAGCACTAATCATGGGAGGCTACGTTCCAAGGGAAACAACAGTGGGACAGCCAGGAGCTTCCCCAGTATCCCCCAGAAGTCATTACACCTCACAGTGCTGCAACGAAAACGCTTTTGTTGTTCCCATTTTAGAGAAGAAGAAACTAAGGCACTTGGTTCAGTAACTTGTCCAAGATCCGACAGGTGCTGGTGTGAAAATGAGAATGGCCAACTGCCTTTAGCCATGAGTATATGGGGGAGAGATGGTGTAAGGCACTAGACTGGAGTGCCTGACCCAGGAAGGTTTCATAATAGCGAACAGACATGCGGGAATGCTACACAACAGCAGATGTGCCGTGACCAAACAACACAAAACGCCAAGACATATTCATGCATGTGTGCACACAGATGTGTCTAACCATGTACACAGGTCGTAAGGAAGCATATTCACTTAAATGGATCCAGCATGGTTGGAAATGTGAAATCACTGCTTTTACTTTATACTTTAAATAGATAAAAAAAAAACAAACAAACACGACTGTGGTTATAATGAAAGGCTTTAGCTGAATTTCAGGCCACACTATGAAAAACAGTTACAAGACAACTAGAAGTTACCAGCAGAGAGCATGGGCATTCTCATTCATCCACCTAGGTGACTCCTCCATGGCATGACACACACCACATATTACCAATCGCGTCCCTTACCGGCTCTCTTACATGTTCCTTCTGGCCATGCCACAGCATGGTCACATGTGGCTCTCACATGAGCTTTTCCATCATTCTAAGACTTTCTCACTTGCAACACAAAGCAAAAGTCCAGTATACACTGTTTATTGACTCGTGTATTTGACTCCTGAGTGAAGGATCATTTCCACCAATACTCAGCACATGAAGGACACACAGAGAGGAAATGACACTTGTCTCAAGTGCTTTTAAATGTGCTGCCACCCTGGATGCACGTGTCCCTGCCAGCTCAAAAACACATCATGCCACATCCAAAAAGATGCCTCATACAAGCAAAACAGCACCAGCGGATTAGTTAGAAGAAATCAAAGGCCTCTCTTCAGGAAAGTTGAAGGTTGGGCGTACCAGGGCTGCTGAAGGCAATTCTGCATTGAAATACAGTTTTCCCATCTCAAAAGCGATGCAGACGCACCCGGCTTGTTAGATTTATAGAATGCCTGGTCTCCCAAGACTTTACAAAGCGAATGGCATCCATCAAATTAATTTCCTTGGGGACTGTCTCAAACATGGAGGATGAAAAGGGCCTCGACCATTAAACATCAAAAGAATGGTCTAAATGGTCATTAAAGTTCTATTACATGTCCTTTTTTTCTGAGCGCAGAGTAGATTAATTCAATTGAGAATATTATAAGTATCAAAGCTGACAGTGAATGTGTGGACTTGGCTAGAAGAGCACTGAACACTGCAGACATCTGCTCATTCACATTATGCAAAATGGAAAAGCCCAGCTCGGCTGCACTGGGGTGCACTTACCAAGCCAGCACACGTAGACACAGCCACAGACGAGGAGCTGTCATTTCTGATAAATCCCTGATAGAAACATCGTCGCACGGAAGGTTCCCGAGTCTCTGAGGCACCGTCTTTTCCAAGCACCTGGACAATAAAGTGACTGCTCAAAAGCACCGTGGGCTCAAGTTCTAAGTGTAGCTCCTGTCCAAATGCTGAAAATCGGTAGTGCAAGGAGCTCCTGCCACTCTGCACCGAGCGCTTTTTCCTGCCGGTGTGCAAAATGTCGTGTGAAATATATGACCCGCCTGAGTCCACTTCTACTGGCGTGACAAAGACGTAATCTGCAATGGGAAAAGTTCAGCTGTCAGCACCCAGAGCCCACAATGCCAAACGGTCACTTTTCAACAAGCTGGCAAGGAGCGACAGACAGTTCAGGAGACTTGGTTCCTATCACCAGGCGCCTGGGTCCTAGAGCAGACATAACCCAGAGCAGCTCGCGAAGATGACGACCTGCTATCCCTACAATTAGCTCTGCCACCGATTCCCACTGAAACCAAAGCCACGGGTGATTCTGATTAATTCCAGGAATGTTTGTAGAAAGGGCTTTCAAGTCCTGGAGAAGGAAGTGCACTCTTTATATATCTGGCTATGGAACCATCCATAGCTAAATACATAAAATATATTCAATGGATTCCGGGAGGGAAAAAAGTTAACAGAAAGCTTCAAAGGTAAATAAATGGGATTTGTTTTTCAAGATGATTAGGAACTTTTTGTTAAGGCTGAATTGGAAGCATATTTCGGGGGACAGAGTTTAAATGACTAGCTATTCACAGTGGTGAGTAACTTCAGATAGTCCCTCAGGACATTAACAAGCAACAGCAGCTTCGTATTTCCAATAGTATTTATGTGTGATGATAAAACCCTGGCACTGTGTCACCATTAACATTTTACTCTGAGCTTTCTTGGAGGCGATCACATTTAATCAGAAGCCTAAACAACTGTGTGTGCGCAGAAAAATGCTTCCAAATTGTCAGAAATGTTCTAAACTGCTCAGACATGTTGCAGGGGGCGTGGCAGACCAGGGGACACCTGGAAAGGCTTGTTTAAAAATACCTGCACCAGCGGTACCCAGAGCAGCGCTAATTGCTGAGTGTTCTAAGAGGGGTCGCTGCAAAATATTTTGCTGTTTGGAAAAGCAACCAGGCGGCACACTGGTTTCTCTCACAAAACACTGAAACTGAAAAGCATTGTCCCACCAAAAGCTTTGGAACATCTCCTGCCTCCGAACACTGAAGACGGCTCTGCATTTCCACTGTCAAGGCACAGAATGGGAAACTAATTTGGAAAGTGTTTAGAAAGATTCCGAATAACTAAGAGGCATGTTTGAGTCACTTGGGTCTTGGTTACTGGAGCAGGGGGGAAACAAAAAGAGGAATTTCCATCTTCCTCAGTCAATAACAACAACCAAAAACAATTTTTTTTTTGAAAGCTAAAGAATACAAGCAGCTAGCAGGAGTCAATGAGCGAAATTCTAATTAGACTCGTTTTTTTTTAAAAAAAACACTATGACAATGGCTTTCAACTGTTTCTTTCTGCATAGGCTCCATCTGTGACTCCTATTGCTTGGGAACTCATGTGTTTTAGTATCACCTCTTCCATTTTCCCTCCTCTCCTTTAACCAAAAACACTATACTGTAACTGACATCTGTATATTTCAGAAATTGGGGAAAAAAATTCCTTCTCTTCACCTTAAAAGACTGAGCGAGACACATATTTCATTTTCTTAAAAATCTATGACATATTTTCTAGTAGCCCTTGATGAAATGCAGGCTTATCTCAGAAATCCCACCTCCTCCTACGACCAAGGATAGACCTGACTAGGAAAACCATCTTTGACTATCTCACCAACAGCTTCCACAGGAAATGGTTTCTTACCTCCTTATCCAGAATCATCTGAAACTCTAACTGCTTTTTGCTAGAGTTGTAGAAGCCTTCACCAGTCCCACCCCCAAGACACCTGCTATTAGCTTGTTTCCAAGAGCACCGTAACCAGGCTATAAGTTACATTGGAGGCCCCCTCTGCAGAACTTGGGTGTTTACTACAGGTGTCTCCACAGGTAGTGACTGGGACAGAAAGGACCTTCCTGCACCGAGGGACAAGAAGCCTCAGATTGGATAAAAGTCCAAGTTTGACTCTTCCTCTGTGAAGAGGCGTGAATCCCGGCAAAGATGAAAATTTTAAAATCCCAAGGAATCTGGGTTGGACAGCAACACTTTGCTAGACAGCTTGCATCCTGGACCAACTGTTCCCTGCAGCGGGTGGAAAACAGTGAAGGAAGGATTTCCCCTCTGGGCGCCATCGGGAAGTCGATAACTGGCAGAATAAAGAATGTTCTGGAAGTTTGTGTCTGAAGAATCTCAGAAGACACAGGCAAGGACTCCAAGACCTTAAGATGGCGTCTTCCTCTCCCTAAAAGCTGTCTCTGGGCATCTGTGACACAAGGGTAGAGAAGGGGACAAAGGGAAGGAAGAAAAGGAACAGAAGCGGAATGGAAGAGGAAGACAGTGGGGAGAAGGGGCTCCTATGGCTTCGAACCTCACCAAGGCAGTTTCTGCGGGCTTTGTAGGGCAGGAATGAGGCGAGGGAGGGAGCCTTTTTGATCTTTAATTCCCTAGCCAGTGTCCACTTCCGTTTTAATTTCCCACCGCAGTTAGGATTATTTTTTTCCTAGCAAGCCATCTGTGAAAGGGGGAAAATATTTTCTGGTTTGTGACTTGCCCCTCGAGGCATGGATTTCTCTGATCAGCCCTCGGTGCTCACCATCTCTCCTCTCCAAACACGGACCTTGTCCAAGCCGGCGACACCTGCCAGGCCAGGGCTTGCGCTTCTCTGTCTTTTCTCTTTGGAGGGTGAGGAGCGGGACAAATATCCCCCCGCAAAGGGCCTTCTTGGGGGACAGGGGGAGGGGCAAAAATACGAACCATCATTTAATCCGCTGCCGCCGCTACCGCTGTCGCTGGCTAAGGCCGCGGCGAGCGAGGCACAGCAGAGGCAGCAAAGCTCGAGCGCCTGCAAGAGAAGAGGGGAC